TTTTCGAGACAGGGTTTCTCTGTGTAGCTTTGCGCCTTTCCTGGAACTCACTTGGTAGCCCAGGCTGGCCTTGAACTCACAGAGATCCACCTGGCTCTGCCTCCCGAGTGCTGGGATTAAAGGCGTGTGCCACCACCCCCTGACCAGACCTGGTAGTTTTAACAGCGGAACTGGTTTGCCCAGGGATTGTTAATCTCCCTTGATTGTGACTGTGGTCATCCCCAGCAACAACCAAGGGAAAGTGGCGGGGAGAAGGGTGAGAGGCTGGGGCGAAGGGTGAGAGACTGTTTCTTTCCCCTGCCATTCTTGGGAGAATTGGCCCCTGAGTCAGGTAGCCAAGGTCAGTAGCGCAATTTTGGGTATCTCACAGAAAGTCTCAGTTATCTTGGCCACTGCTCCAAAGCAGAGACAGAAAGTGGCCCAGCTATGTCACCGGAGTACCAGCAACTTATTACCTGTCTGTCCTTCAGCAACTTACTAGTCCTGTGCTGGGGAAGTCTTTCTGTATGCTGTGAATATGTCCGGCTTCCACTGAATAATAAATAAAGCTGTTTTGGCCTATGGCAAGAAAGCTTACAACCAGGAGGGAAATTCAAGCAGAGATACAGAGAGAAGACGGGCGGAGTCCAGGGAGACCACTGCCGCCGCCGCCTAAGTAGCAACAAGATGCCATCAGACCTGTAACGCCAAGGCCACGTGGCAACATATAGATTAATAGGGATGGATTAATTTAGATGAAAGAGTTAGCCAACCAGAAGCTGAAGCCATAGACCATACAGTTTGTAATTAATATAAGCCTCTGAGTAATTATTTTATAAGCAGCTGTGGGGCCTCAGGACCGAGCGGGATTTGGTTTTCCTATCCATAAAGTTGGTGCATGATTGGTGGGGGAAGGGGGGTGTCCCAAGATGTATGTGGGACAGAGAGAGAGAGAGAGAAAGAGAGAGAGAGAGAGAGAGAGAGAGAGAGAGAGAGAGAGGAGGCTATGGACCATTTTTCCCTTTTAATTATTGACATTTTATTTATTTATTTATTTATTTTTGGCTTTTCAAGACAGGATTTCTCTGTGTAGCTTTGCACCTTTCCTGGATCTTGCTCTGTAGACCAGGCTGGCCTTGAACTCACTAAGATCCACCTGGCTCTGCCTTCTGAGTGCTGGGATTAAAGGCGTGAGCCCCCAACGCCCAGCTTATTGACATTTTAAATGCATTATTTTATAACATATACATACATTTTTTTTGCTGTTGTTTGTTTGTTTTTTGTTGGGGAGTATTTTTGTTTTCTTTTTTTTTTTTTTTTTTTTTTTTTTTTTTTTTTGGTTTTTCGAGACAGGGTTTCTCTGTGTAGCTTTGCGCCTTTCCTGGAACTCACTTGGTAGCCCAGACTGGCCTCGAACTCACAGAGATCCGCCTGGCTCTGCCTCCCGAGTGCTGGGATTAAAGGCGTGCGCCACCACCGCCCGGCCGTATTTTTGTTTTCTAAGACAGATTTTCTCTGTGTAGCCCTGATTGTCCTGGAACATGTTCTGTAGACCAGGCTGGGCTTGAACTCAGAGATTTGCCTATGTCTGCCTCTCAAGTGCTGGGATTAAAGGCATGTTCCATCCCTACTACCTTATCCCCAGTTCCTTTTTTTTTTTTTTTTTTTTTAGATAAGGTCTTGCTATGTAACTCTAGCTGGCTTGGAATTTGCTGCAGCCCACCTACTTCTGCTTTCTAAGTGCTGGTATTACGGGTGTAAACCACTACACTAGCTAATTCTTTTTTGATGAAGAAAATGGCACTATACAGGTTGTTGTGAGGAGTAAAGGGACAACGGAAAGCAAGTTGGTTCACAGTTGGCTCTCAGTAGGTGTGAGATCCCCGCCCACCCTCTTCTCTGTATTCTCCTATACTCTTTTCCCTTCTGGCGATCAGAGACTTTGGTCCACAGACTTCAGCTTGGGAGGGAAAATGGTACAGAACTCTGATGTCCACATGGCTTTGGGAAAGTCATGTAGCCTTCCCAAATCTCAGTCACTTTGTCTGCAAAATGGGAAAATAAGCACCTAGCTTAAAAGATGTTTTCAACTGGCAAGATGGCTCAGAGGGGGTGTGGCAGTTTGAATGTAATTGGCCCCCAAACTCATAGGGAGTGGCACTATTAGGAGGTGTGGCTTTGTTGGCGTGGGTATGGCCTTGTTGGAGGAAGTGTGTCACTTTGGGGGCGGGCTTTGAGGTTTCCTATGCTCAGGATACCACCCAGTGTCTCAGTTGACTTCCTGTTGCCTGCAAGACGTAGGACTCTCAGCTACTATTCCAATACTACATCTTTCCTGCACACCGCCATGTGTAGTAATAATGGACTGAACCTTTGAAACTGTAAGCAATCTACCCCAATTTAAATTTTTTACTTTATAAGAGTTGCCATGGTTATGGTTTCTCTTCACAGCAATAAAAACCCTAACTAAAACAGAGGGTAAAGGTGCTTGCCACCAACATGCCTTTCATCTCTAGGACCCATATGATGAGAGGATAGAACAAGCCATGTGCACCATGTCACATGAGCATGCTTACACACACACACACACACACACATTCACACACACACACACACACATATACACACACACACACAAATATATACTTCCTGGCATACAGTAAGCAAGCAATTAATGACTTCAGAAAAATATTATGAAGAAATATAATGGGTGTAACTAAGAAACAAATATTAAAGAAGGAGGTAGACCAGAGAAAGATGATTTTAACCCAGGACCACAAGTGCACAGAATCTTTGGATGTAGTGAAAAAGGTCTGTGAACTTGGAGGGGGAGTACATCCTTGATAACACTCGCCTCCAACTGGACTCCAGCACGTCTAGAATCCAAATAAGCATCAAAACAAAAGCACAGCAGTGGAATCTACAACTCTGTCACTATAGAAATGACCTCAAAATTACAGTGTTTCGTCAACTCAGCAATCTCGTTGACATTTTAAACAGCAGGATTCAATGGCAATTCAATGCAACTGGCAGCCTTTATGACCCTAAATAATTTCTTCCTTGCAGTTAAAAACATCACTATTAATAGAGGCCCATATGCTTCATCAAGAATCCAAAGGAACTCTAGGCCAGTCACAGGACCACTCCTACCTGGGCCCCTGATGGATGGCTGTGTGACATTGTGCCTGTTTCTCTCGAGGGCAGAATCCTTCTCTGGGTTATTAGGAGAAAGAAATTGATTCTTGACTGGAAAAGGGTTTGGGGAATCCATGTCTTCCCAGTTTTGCCAGATGACCATGTCTCACAGGCCTCCCTCCTCCACAAGGGATTCTCCCTCCCCCAACCTCCTCTTCTGGTACACCCAGGTCAAAGTGCACCTTCTTCAGTCTCCCGTGATCCCAGCTCGGAGCAGCTTTTCTGGGAATAGTAACAATTCCTCTTGTTATCCTGGCGATAGACTCTGGGGCCTCATGCATGCTGGGTAGATGATCTACCATTCAGCTGTACTCCACGCCAAAGGTAAGTGTTTGTTCATTGTTGAGATGAGTTCTGTTTTGGCAGGCTGGCCTTAAACTCCTGGGCTCAAGCAATCCTCCTGCCTCAGGCTGCTGAATAGCTGAGACTACTGCCACGTGCCCTCAAATCTGGCTCCTTTTTTGTTTATTGTTTTTTGTTTTCTTCACAGTAACCCTCGAAGCCATCCCTCTCTCAAAATCCTTCCCTGTTCTCTTACATAGCGTTCCTTCATGTCTACAATCCCTGCATCCCCCTTTCCCTGCATCCCCTTTCCCTGCATCCCCTTTCCCTGCATCCCCCTTTCCCTGCCCAGTCCTGTGTTGATTCCTCCACTGACCCCTCAGTGATGATTCCTCTCTTATTCCTCCACCGAACTCTTTCTGAAGGGCAGGCCCAAATCTGAGCCTTCCAGGTACCCAGGTCAGAGGTTTGGGACCCAACAGCCTCCGGGGAGCTGCCTTAGAGGACAAAGGAAAGGAAGTACAGGGGGAAGCAGAGAAGGAGTCAGCTGAGCTTATATACCCAGCCCCCTTCAGATCCGTGATACACACACACAAACACACACACGCACACGCACGCACGCCCGCCCGCCCGCGCACGGGAGCAAAGGGGAAGCATCACATTGACTATTTCCTACTGTCCACTTCTGTGAAAACACACAGCTGAGGCTCTGAGTAACTGGATAAAAGATCTTCTGTCTACCCTCTCAGGGTACATTGGGGAAACCGAGGGTCTGGGTGCTCCTTCAGACAGGAATGAAAATATTGCCCTTGTAGTCTGGAACAAATTGTGGAGGCTGGCAGCCCCTAATTGAGGGAGGGAAAAGGCTTGTTCCTGGGACAATTGCCCTATTGTCCTTGGCCAAACAGCAGGGAGTGCTAACTCGGGTGTGTGTGTGTGTGTGTGTGTGTGTGTGTGTGTGTGTGTGTGTGTGTGTGTGTGTGTGTTTGTGTGTGTGTGTGTGTGTGTGTGTGTCAGCATTGCGGGTGAAAGAGGGACCAGGAGAGGAAAGGAAATGACAGGTAGAAATGAGCAGGGTGTGGTGGCACGCACCCGGAATCGCAGCATTTGGGAGTTGGAGGCAGGGTCATCAAGACGGCAAGGCCAGTGTGGACTACTGGAGGCCCACTGGAAAAAGGTTTGCTGAGAGCCAGCAAGACAGCAGGGTTGAAACCCCATGGGCTCAGGAGCCTGGGGAAATAAATGACCTGTCTCTGATCCTCAGCTGCCGTCGATACAATGAAAATCCCTGGTCCTCAGGTTGCTTTGCCAGTTAAATGAATGGAGTAGTGTATTCATCATCCCAGAGGACCTCACTCTGTCTGTCTCCTGCGTAGCCCACAACCTCCCAGACAGAGAAGGGTCCTGGCACCCGGGCACGGTGTTACCTCGCTCAGGCGAGGTCCTCAAATATCCACCTTGCCTCCCTAGCCCTGGAGTGCTGCCTGGGCTGCTAGGGGCCGGTCACGCCTAGGACTGGGGCCCCGCGCGCTCCCCTGCCTCCGCGCCCGCGCACCTGGCCGCCGGGTCCCCGGGCGCCCCGTCCTCCCCGCGCGCCTCCGCGCCTGTCGCCGTGCCTTTCTCCGCGCGCCTCTGCCTGCGCGCCTCCCTGCCTGCCCGACCCCCCGTCTCTTCCCCAGGCTCCGCTGGGTCTCCCGCAGTCCCTCGCTCGCCTGCCGCCGTCCGTCTGGTGGCCCAAGGAGGCGCGATGAGCGGCGCCTGCTCGAGCTACGTCAGCGCGGAGCAGGAGGTGGTGCGCGGCTTCAGCTGCCCGCTGCCGGGGGGCGAGGCGGCCGCCGTCTTCTGCTGCGGCTTCCGAGACCACAAATACTGCTGCGACGACCCGCACAGCTTCTTCCCCTACGAGCACAGCTACATGTGGTGGCTCAGGTACAGGCCCTGGCCCTAACCTCGCCTCGAACCCTTCTCCCGTCTTAACCCCCTCTCCCACCCGCAGACTAGCCTCTAGTTAAGCCTTGGCTTTCACCTAAGCGCCCATCCCGCAAATCATCCTTTCTCCTCATTGCCAATACTGACCCTATGCTCACTTTATCACTAACCCATCGCTCTCTTGAAGCGCCACCTCAACCCTTCCTTCATCCTGACCCCAGCCATTATTTGGAACCATGCTTGAACCTGACCAGCACTACCCCAAACGCTCACTCTGCCCCTTCTGTGAACCTCATTCTTCCATCGCCCTCAACCCAATCCCAAATCACAAGCCAACCCTTGCCCTAACAGCAAATGCTATCCCGGACTTACAGAGGAATCTCAAACTCTACCCTTAGTCCTCACACAGATGCACCCATCTGGGGGCTGTTCCAGATGCCGGCCCCATCCCCATCCCCAGCTTTATGAACTCCCTGTGACTACCCCAGTCCTGACTGTCACCTGCCCCATCTTCCTCCTCAAACCTGCCTGGGCACCCTCCTCAGCTGTTTTCTCACATATTGACTTCAGGAAACTCTCTAGTCTAGACCTACATCCAAACCACGACCTCAAACCTTTATCCTTACCTGATGCTGCATGCCAACTCCATCTCAGTCCAGCCTCGGCTTTTTTCTTCCCTCTGACTCTCTCTACTGGGCACCCATGTGAGTCCTGGAGATGTACCCTACGCTTGCAGTCAGGGCTTCCTGCAAGTCCAGTGTGACACGGTGGCATAATGTCACAGCAGAGGCCAGCTCTAGCCATTTTAATATAAAGTGTGGTCTGGTTGAAAACACTTTGGTTCCCCTGGCTGTTCAGGGACGGGGTTGCTCGGACCAGCTCTGACAATTCTGAAACCTAAGTATGGAGTTGAGCGGCGGTAGGTCTTAATCCCTCTGAGTCCCCAAAGGCTTCACCCAGAAAGTAGAGCCTGATCCTCAACCTGCTCTGGGAAAGGGGTAACAGCAAAATTGGAATGGTCCATGGAGAGTTTTCTGTCCCTAACAGTGTAGGCGCAGACTGTGTGATTTCTGGATGGGAAAAGAGCATCATTAGCTGCTGGAATGTCTCTGAATCTTTCTGTCTCTTTATCTACCAATGGGGAAAATGACCTATCGCTGTCCCGATTTCTGACTAAGGCAGAGGCAAGAACCAAAAGAGAGAAGAAAACAACTTGATATATACCATTTACAATTACAAAGATCGCCTTTTCTAAGGTGTTCAGTCTGTAATTCTAAAACATTTTCTGATGACCAGGATGATATCATATCCTGCACATTTGTCTGCTGTCTAAAAACCCAAGGAATCATAGTAATTCATTTTCTGTTCCCATGTATTCATCCATTCACTATGATCTTTGCTATAGGGTCTTTGTGCGAGGCGACGAGGGTACAAAAGCCAATTATTCCTTGCAAAGAGGACCATCCATTCTTGTTGTGAGAGCAAACCCAGGGCCTTGGGCATATCATAGACAAGTACTCTAATACTGAGCACGTCACCAACCCTCCCAGTCTATTTAGAGCCGTGGTTCTCAACCTTCCTAATGCTGTGACCCTTTAATACAGTTCCTCATGCTGTGGTGGCCCCCCAACCATAAAATTCTTTTCATTGCTCCTTCATAACTGTAATTTTGCTACTGTTATGAATCATAACGCAAATATGTGTGGGTCTTAGGCGACCCCTGTGAAAGGGTCAGGACCCACGGGTTGAGAACCACTGACTTCGAGAGGCAGCGCCTGCACCTGTCTGAAACAGTACAGGACCTGTTGAAGTCTCACTGTGTGCTTAGCACAGAGCTGAGAGCTGAAGGGGGTGATTGCCTTTGAAGTGCAGGAGTGGTGTGGAGCTTTGCCTCTGTTCAGAGCCTGGTGCAAACCTCGGCTCTATCATGCCAGCTTGTGAATCGGAAAAGTTGTTTAATCTCGTGGACTCTTCTTGCTTAACTCTAAATGATGGTTCACCCTTGTCATCCCAGCACCTGTGAGGCTTGAGGCAGAGAGACTATGGGTGATGATGTGGCCAGTTAGGGATATGGAGTGAGCTCCAGGCCAGCCTTGAGTACCCAGTGAGATCCTGTCTCAACAAGTTAATATAAAATTTAGAGCAGTAGTCATGCCTGCCTCATGGAAGACAGAATGTAAGGAGGGAGTGAAGTGTGTGTATTGCAAGTTTAGGTGCCCAGTGCATGGAGCAGGCACTCAGTAGGAAAGAGTTTCTTTCACACCTGTAAGCGTGGGACGCAGAGCTCAGAGTCTGACAGTGAACCTGCTCTTCCTTCGCTATCACAGCAGAGGACATGGCTTAGGATGGGTTCCGCACTCCCACACATACGTAGCCCCTAAGACAGCTCTCCATTTTATAGATGGAGAGACTTAAGAGGGGTTGTTACTGGGAGTACCCCAGTGAGAAGTGGCAGAGCTGAGATGACCCCAAACCCGAGACTTGTCCTGTTCGACGACTATCAGGGCCCTCTCTGGTCTCTCACAGCTGACACACTCGGCTCTCTCCAGAACATACACTGAGAGCTGTCTTCTGTCTTCTGTGCTATCTTAGATGCAGAGATGAGTGGCCCCTGAGCCCCTGGCTGGCAGTCCCTTCCTCTTCCATCACTTCCCGATCTACTCACATCGTTTGACCTTTCCTGTTGTCTTGGAAACTCTCTCCCGGTAGAATGCTTTTGTCACTAAAGTGTAGTAGCTTAGACGGGTTTCAGTGGAGAATTGGATAGGGAGATCTCTAAGGTCAGGTCCTGTGTCAGTGTGACCCCAAAAGCAGCTGAAAGGTTCCAGGATGTTAAGTGACTTCCTGGGTTCTTTTGTGTGTGGCCGTGCTTGGGTGTGGGTGTTTTCCATGTTTATATATACCTGTGCACTATGTGCAGAGGGTGCCTGCGGAGGTCAGAAGAGGGCATCAGATCCTGAGACTGGAGTTACAGATGGTTGTAAGCTGTCATGTGAGCGCTGGAGATGGAATGCTGGTCTCTGGAAGAACAACCAGTACTCTTAACTGCTGACCCCACTTCCTGGATTCTAACACATGGTTCATAAACATCAAGACAGTTGCTAAGCATAGAGCTTGAGAGTCCTCAGGATGAATAGTGTGCCCTGAGCTCTAAAACAATTCCCTGCGTGCTTCTGACAGAGCCCCATCACTGCGGCATGGAGACTTTGTTTTGTTCCAAATTTCATTTGACCCTTTTCATGACATTTCTTTCTTGCAAGCGTAAAAATCTCCAGGTAAGCACTGTATCCTTTGAGAGAGTTTGAAGGGTGGAAAAAAAGCCATCTTTAAAAGCTAACCATCTCAGAAAGAAAAGACATCCCATGGAGAAGCAGCTGGTATAACTACACCATCTGGCCCAGTTACCAAAACCTCCTTCCATCTTCTTTCTGCCAGACTGTGGCAGAAGGCGAGCTGAAGGGCAGAGTTGGTGGCCAGGTCGTGCCAACTCCATGTCACCACACTTAGGGCCACCTGGTAAGACAGGAATGGTCACAAATGAAGATCAGAAAAGCAAAGCGGTATTTATGGCAGGATCAGGATTCAAACCTTGAAAAGTACCTGATCTCGAAGCCTGCTAGTGAGTCCAGAGGCCTCTAGTTGAGTTTCTGGATGCTGACTTCATGGGAAGGCAGCTCAGTCTGTCCTGTGCATCTCTCTTCTCAGGAGGAACTCACCCCCCTCTGGAGGTAGGGCCTTCCCCACTAGACAGCTCTGATCCCTTTAAGCTCATCTGGTACTGACACCAGCTTTCTCTCTCAGAGCTGTCTCTCTTGTCCCCTTCTCTGTATCCTCAGGCCCCAGACAGAACACCGAGGACAATGCGTTTCAGAGGCAGCATCTGCTTCCTAACTCACCTCCACTTAGGGAGGCATCCTCCAGTCTTCTCATCCATTCCACAAAGGTTCTCTTTTAGAGGCTACTTTCCCGTCCTGGTGCTCATAGATGTCACCCATAAACAGTGAGCTCCTCATCTGCACACAGGTCCACCAGCCGGTAGTCCCGTGAACAATAAGTGTATCTCAAAAGAGAAAACTACTGGATGTCTTTTTAATGCATGCAGGTACACAAGCATACATGCATGTGTGGAGGCCAGCAGGCAACCTCAGATGTGATTCTCAGGAACGCCATCCCCCTCCTTTGAGGCAATGTCTCTTGTTAGCCTTGAGCTCACCAGTTAAGCTAGACTGGCTGGCCAGTGGGCCCCAGGGATGCTCCCGATTCCATCTTCGCAGTGCTTGGATTACAAGTATGCACACCACATGGATTCTCAGTATTGCACTTGAGTTCTCATGCCTGCAAGTCAAGCAAGCACTTCACCTAGTGAGTGTAGAGGACCAGCCCCCACACTTATTTACCCCGGGGACTCTTGAGGAATGAGGGATAATGAGGAGACTTAGAAATAAAGAGGGGAGAGAAACAGAGAGAAAGCACGGGATAGACTCGGGTGGCCCTGGATCCTTATCCACCGGCCCAGAACTTTATTCCAAAGGTCTATTTATAACAATGCCAAGGGCTGGAGCAAAAGACCTCCCCCTTGCTAGTTACAGTCACCTGGTACCCAGGCCCATGGTCCAATCAACCTCTTATGCAGTCCTGTTGAGTACAGCCACTAGGAAGCCTAGTGGGCTCCAACAAGTAAGCTATCTCCCTGGCCCAAGATAACTGTTTAAAGTATCAACAAGAACTAAAAAAAACCCACATAACCAACATGGGAAATGTGGGAAAAGGCACAACAAAAAGATACAAAAGAAGGGAGCTGGCGTGTGCTGGTTTGTGCTTAAAGCTGAAGAGTTGATGGCAAAGAGGTTTGGTTGCTCGTTTGGTTTGGTTTTTGAGACAAAGTCTCTCTACACAGCCCTAGTTATCATAGAACTCACTCTGTAGCCCAGGCTGGCCTGAACTCACAGAGATCCGCCTTCCTCTGCCTCCCAAGTGCTGGGATTAAAGTAGTGTGCTACCACCCCCAGCTACGTAGTTTTTTATGGAAAGTGATCCCAGAAAACACTGATAGAGGGTGGAAAAATGAGACAGAGAGAAAACACTACGAATAGGTTATGCTATCAACAGGTCGCCCTTCGCCTCTGCCAGTCAGCATGTGATGTATTCCTCAGAGTTATGGAGGACATAGGAGCTGGGGATGTATACACCACTGTGGTTGAGGGCAGGTCAAGGGAGCGAAGCGTTAATTATCCTGGACTCCTGACTTATTCAATGAGCAGAGTTTTGTTCTGGGTCTAAGAAGTCCTCAAGCAAAGAGCTAGAGATGCTGGCGATTGAAACTGTACGGATATTCCACAATGATAGGACCCAAGGGGATATGGCCAGGACATCTACAGCCTGCATTATACCTAGAGACAGCTCGATAGTAGTTTGATATATTTCCCGCCAATCTTATGTTTATATATATTTATTTAGTTAAGTTTGACCTAAGCTTTGTGTCTGGTATTGTCTTGCTATTTTCACTTTATATCATCTTGTAAGAATATGTGTGTATGTGTTAGTACATGCACATGTAATTGAACGGGGAGCACACACGTGTAGAAACCAGAACAAGACCCCCGCTGATATCCCTCAGATACTAGCTGGAGAGTTGAAGCTGATTCTACTGCTCACTCTTCTGCCTTCCCAGGCCCCAGCTCTCAGCCCCCTGTGGTCTTCTCTCCCCAGCATCGGAGCTCTTGTGGGACTCTCCACAGCAGCAGTGGTCCTTCTGTCCTTCATTGTCACTGTTTGTGTGCTCTGCTATCTGTTCATCAGCTCAAAGCCCCACACAAAGCTGGACCCAGGCTTAAGCCTACAGACAACAGGTAAGAAAGAAGCTACATGGTGTCCTTGTGGCAGGGGAGGGGGTCGGGGTGCGGGAGTGGTACTTTTTGTTGTTGGTTTTTTTGTTGTTTGGTTGTTTTTTTTTGTTTTTGTTTTTGTTTTGAGACAGGGTTTCTCTGTGTAGCTTTGGAACCTTTCCTGGAACTAACTCTATAGCCCAGGCTGGGCTCGGAACTCACAGAGATCCGCCTGGCTCTGCCTCCCGAGTGCTGGGATTAAAGGGGTGCGCCACCACCACCCGGCGTGAGAGCATCCTTTTTTTTTTTTGGTTTTTCGAGACAGGGTTTCTCTGTGTAGCTTTGCGCCTTTCCTGGAGCTCGCGCTGTAGACCAGGCTGGCCTCGAACTCACAGAGATCCGCCTGCCTCTGCCTCCCGAGTGCTGGGATTAAAGGCGTGCGCCACCACGAGAGCATCCTTTTAATCCCAGCATTTAGGAGGCAGAAGCAGGCAGATCTCTGAGAATGAGCCAGCCTGGTCTACAGAGTGAGACCTGTCTCAAAGGTGGGGGAGGAGAAGATAAAGGAGGAAAGGAAAGGGAGAAATGAGATCTAGAACACTCAAAGGAAAGGAAAGGGAGAAATGAGATCTAGAACACTCACCTTCTGACTGTTCTGGAACACCGCATTCCTCAGGAGGTCTGTGAACTGAGCATTTTGGACCCAGACTTGTGTGCTCAGTCCTCAGGAGTCTCTCCTGCCATCAGCTCTCCATTCTCAGAGTTTACGCGAGGATGGATTTTTCTAAGCTGGTGTTTTCATTCTAGCCTTAGGGGATGCAAACTGATTTCCATATTCTCCCAAACAAAACAGAGCTACTAAGACAAACTTGCCATTTCTTAAAAATCAACATTTAATCAGAAACCGAATACAGGATTTTATTTTTCATAATCTGCTGTTCTGACTACCCATTCCTTCATGAGCCCTGGCCATTGAGAACCTCAAAGGAGACAACCAAGAAAGTGTTGTCTTTTCCTAAGTCCATACAGCACATTTTATAGCCTCTGACGAGGAACTGTGAAAGATCCTAGCCCGTGCTGGCCAAGTTCTCAGTACAGTTCTCAGGACAGTTGAGTGAGCAGCGGCCAAGGTGGGTGTTGTCTCACTTCACAGACTCAAAAATCAGGGTGGAGAGAAGGCTGGAGACTTACTCAAGGAGTCCTGACTGACAAACGAAATCAGGTCCAGCCCATGCCTTACCTCCCAGAGTCACGCTCTTCTGCTCACTAAACACAGGCTGTGCAAATGTGTAAATACATTACTGCCTGATACCAACTTTATCAACTGTAAGAAGTGTTAAGAGAATGATGAGGTGAAATAGAGGCAGGAAGCCAGGATGGGTGGACAGTGGGTACAGGTGTGGGCAGGACTCACTGAGACCTGTGTAGTAGTGGGGTCACCCCTGGGGGTGCCACAGGACTAGGGCCAGCGAGGTCGGGGAGGAACTCAAGCAGCAGAGACAGGCGGCGAGCCTCAGGCAGGTAGAAGGGCAGGTGGGTAATTCCTCGGTCTCAGAGGAAGATGGAGAGCACTGAATGCTACCATTTGTAAGAGATTAATTTTCTAACTTAAAAAGGCAACAAGCAACAGCCCTAAACCCTTCCAGGATCCTGAGGATGGCTGAGAGTGGAAGGGTTCCTCTGGCTCCCTGTGGAGTCAGGAATAGGGAAAAACCTGAGCCGAAGACAAGCTGACCGATGTACCTAAATCAAAGTCAAATAATAAGATATCATAGGTAAAGTTAAAAAAACAATGATGGGCTGCAAAGATTTTGTGTGTGTGCACAAGCATCTGTCCTCACAGCAATCCTATTCTCAGACTGTATATTTTTGAACTTGCTTACTTACTAAAATGTATTTGTAACCTCGAAATCAATACTTGAGGCACTTATGAGGTTATTACAGATGTGGGTATGTACAGAGTAGCAAATATTGGAGGTGCACATGTCCCAGATAACGTCAATCAAGGCTACACTCTGTAAGCATGTATCCTCTTTGTGTCTGTCTGGAGCCATTTTATTCCATGTTTGTGATGTTCACTAATGGGCACCCTGTTGAAATGCCTCTGGACACAGTTCTGAAGTGCCGTCTAGTGCCCTCGAGCATAAGAAGACTGTACACTTTGTGAAGAATCCAGGGTGCTAAATGTCTGACATGAGGATTTGAGTTAAATGTTAATAAATCAAAAATACATATTAAATCATGGGACTAGAGAGATGGTTCAGCATTAAGAGTACTGGCTGCTCTTTCAGAGGACCTGGGCTAGATTTCCCAGCACCCAGATGGCAGCTCACAACTGTTTATAACTTCAGTTCCAGGGGAATCAATACCCTCTTCTGGTCTTCTAGAACACCTGGCATGCACATGGTTCATAGACATACATTCAGGCAAAACACCCATACACATAAGGATAAAATAAACTTTTTTTTTTTTTTTTTTTTTTTTTGGTTTTTGGTTTTTCTGAGACAGGGTTTCTCTGTGTAGCTTTGGAGCCTGTCCTGGAACTCACTCTAGCCCAGACTGGCCTCGAACTCACAGAGATTCGGCTGGCTCTGCCTCCCGAGTGCTGGGATTAAAGGTGTGCGCCACCACCGCCCGGCTAAAATAAACATTTTTAAAAGAAACACATATTAAATCAGGTGTCTTTAATCAACGGCACATGAAAGTTAAGTATTGATCGTTTGTCAAAAATGTCATGGCCAAAGACACACAGAAACCTCATCTTAGAATGATGTTCTCCCTAGAAGACAGAGTCTCATACGGCCCAGGCTAGCCTGGAACTCACTATGTAGCCAAGGATGACCTTGACCTCCTGATCCTCCTCCCTCCAACCCCAAGTTGCCACCAAGCCTGGCTTAGTAGTGTTTTTAGTATTTGCTAACTCGGTGTTTGTGGAGACTTTATAATACATAAAATATACTACATAACTCCTGTGGATAATCGGGACTCACTGCATGTAAAATAAGACAGGGCTGACATCCAGAACATAGAAACACATCTTTAAACAAATGAGAAAAGTGTAATCATAATTAAGAATAAAAGTCCAGGCCGGGCGGTGGTGGCACACGCCTTTAATCCCAGCACTCGGGAGGCAGAGCCAGCCGGATCTCTGTGAGTTCGAGGCCAGCCTGGGCTACCAAGTGAGTCCCAGGAAAGGCGCAAAGCTACACAGAGAAACCCTGTCTCGAAAAACCAAAAAAAAAAAAAAAAAAAAAAAAAGAATAAAAGTCCAATATAAGCCTGGTGTGGTGGCACCTGCCTGTAAAACAGCCCTTTGGGAGGTTTTGCTGGGTGGTGGTGGCGCACACCTTTGGTCCCAGCACTCCAAGCAGAAGCAAGCTTGGTCTGTGAGTTCAAGGCCAGCCTGGTCTACAGAACAAGTTCCAGGACAGCGAGAGCTACACAGAGAAGTCTTGTCTTGAAAAATAAATAAATAAATAAAAATAAAAAATAGATTAAAAAAAAAAAAAAGACATAGGACGACCAGTAGTTCACTGTTGCCCTTGATTACATATCAAGTTTGAGGCCAGCCTGGTATCCTGAGACTATCTCACACAAACAAACAACCACCACAACAACAAAATTCACAATCCACACGGAGAGATTATCAGTGTAATAATAAGGAGAATGCAATTTAAGAATGATAGACTAGCCGGGCGGTGGTGGCGCACACCTTTAATCCCAGCACTCCGGAGACAGAAGCAGGTGGATCTTTGTGAGTTCGAGGCCAGCCTGCTCTACAGAGCGAGTCCAGGACAGGCTCCAAAGCTGCACAGAGAAACCCTGTCTCGAAAAACCCGGAAAAAAAAAAAATGATAGACCTTTTGAACTGCTGAGATGGTTCAGCAGGTAAAGCCACGGGCTGACAAGCCTGACAACTGATTTCAGTCCCTGAAACTTGTGCAAAGGTAGGAGAGAACTGACTCCGTAGAGTTGTTATCTGACCTACACACACACACACACACACACACACACACACACACACACACACACACAAATAATTTTAAAGAAAGTAATGATATACTTGAAAAGGATCTCCAGGAGATGTGATACCCTCTGAGGGTACTGTGCACACATGGTGTACCTATACATGTACAAGCAAACTAACAAACACATGAAATAAAAAGAAATAAAAAACTGACGGAAGTTCAGAGATGGGCCATGTTAACAGTGAGAGAGTTGGAGGGAAAATGGGCAATATAACATGATTGGCCATGGCTGGCAGGAATATAAATTGGTTCAATGACTTGGCAATACCTTCTTACGCTAAAAACATGGATGCCCTGTAACTCAGCAGTGACGTCTAATGGTCCATCCTTGTGAAATAATTCCTTTAGGCGAAGACAAGTACAATAGATATCAAGACACGTACAATAGATATCAGGACAGCCTGGTTTCCTGTCACAGAGGAAACCAACTAAAAGCTCATCAGTGCAAAAAAAAAGTATCGTTGAGGAGCTCCAGGGCTGAATCCTCCCTGAAGGGACTATCAGGTTTCTTCTGCGTGGTCACTGGGCAGGGTCAGCTATGACCACTTCTGTTACGCAGGTGAGGACACTGAGGTTCAAAGTCTCCTAGTGAGGGAGTGACTGACCAGCTCTCTCTCCACCTCCCTTTACCCCTGTTGCTGAGAAAGGGAAGCCCCTTTTGTGTGCCAGATACTACTCTTTGAACCTGCACAGGTACCCTCTCATCTGATCTCCTCCACTGCCCAGTGAGATGAGCGTCACTCACGTACAGCTGTGACAGCCAGGTCTCAGAGATGCTGGATGAACTGCCCAAGAGCTCACAGCTTGTAAATTGTGGTCCTGGGATTCTAAAGTGTCTCTCTGCCTCTCAAGCCCTGTTCTCTTTCATGTCTCCATGCCCGGACTGTGGCTGCTCAGGGTTTTTCTATCCCTCCCTGCTCCCACCAAAGCCTTTCTGGCTTAGAGGTCATATAGTTCATTCTTGACAGTATAGATGGAGATCGCCTTCCTGCTTCTCAGTGTTCAGTGACCAGTCAGGTTATTTAGTCACCAAGGTTTGGGACAGCACATGCTCTTTCTTTTTGTTTCTCACTTTTTGAAGATGGAAAGTGCATCCACTGACTTTTTACTAACTGATCGCTTTCGCCTCTCTGTCGTTTGCACAAGTCCCTAGGTCTATCGTGTTGCCCTCCCCTTCCCTCCGTACCCACAGCACCAAGCCGGAAGCATCTGAAATGGGGTACAAATCCACTGTTTGTATTTACCAGATCTTCTCCCCTTCAGAGACTCCCGCTTCTACGTGCTTGCTGTCTTGCTCTTCAGTGAGACAGGAGATCATGGCTCCCATTTTACAGGAGAAAAAGAGCAAGATTTAGCAAGTGACCAAGTCCTCAGATAGACCTGTGTGTTTGGGATGCCAGCCAGATCTCACAGGCTTTAGAGTACAATAACTGTACTGTACGTGTGTGTGTGTGTGTGTGTGTGTGTGTGTGTGTGTGTGTGTGTGTGTGTGTATGCGTGTTTACCTCTCTGATGGGGCAAGAGTGGTGTGACAGGTTCTTGGCAAGTGGCCATGAAAAGGCCACTTCTGACACAGCTTCCTTCCCATAACTAGGGTTTTGCCATCACCCCTGTCCCATACCATCTCCCAAACCTGACATGAACTAGAGATAGGAACTTTTCCTCTCTCCCTCCCTCCCTTCCTTCTTTCCATTCCTCTTGTGCTGGGGGTCTAATGCAAGGCCTCACACATGCAAAGCACATGTAACTTCCTTAGTGGAGTTCTTTGTGAGGAACCAGCTAGATCAGAAGGGTGACTGCAGCCCTGCTGTGGTGTTCTGCCCCGGGATGGGGACTTCAAACACATCACACTTAACTAGCTCCACTTCTCTGGCAGGTGGTTGTTAGTGACTCTGTTTTGAGACCAGACAGGTGGAGTGAGGACGGAGATGATGTCCCAACCCAAGCCCATTTAATGAGCCCAGGAAAATCGGAAGAAAAAAAAAAATTAAACAAGCATTTTGCTTTCATTTTCTTCTGGAAAGGTCATTAATCAGCCATTCTCCCTGAACCCCCACGGATCCAGAAACCAGTTCTGACGCTCGCTCCCGTCACACAGGAGGGACGCTGGAACCCTGAGAGGGGCAGTCCTGCACTTGAGTCCCCAGACTAGCTTGTGGTCAGGCCTTGGCCTTTCAGGCCACAGACGGTTCTCTACGACAGCGGCCCCACACTTCATGGTGGCTTCCCCCACCACTGTCCTCCCATCCACCCCCTCCTCTCTGAGGCCTCAGTCACTCCAGATCCCACTGCTGTTTGATTAGGCATACTTGGAGTGACACCCGTGAGTCACAACATGAGTCACAGGTGTCAGTGATAAGTTAGTCTTGACTCATCTCCAAGCAGGAAAGAACCTTTCCAACCCCGACTGGGCTGACCACCACAGGCATATCCTAAGTTCAAACTGAGGACTTCAGGGAATAGGGTCGATGACAGAGGTCTTTGGAGAAAGTTGGACATGTGCCCTGGATCTAATACTGGTTTTCTACTCTCATGGCATTGTTCCTCTGTTTTTCTTTCCTTCTCTCTCTTTCTTTTTTTTTTAATCAAGCCAGGGTTTTATTAAACCAATCCAAGTGACACATCTTTACAGCGTACAAAAAAATTATTCCACAACAACTCAACCTGGGGCTTGCTGCCATTTGTTTTTAAAGCTAAGTTGGCTGGGACTTATGGTCCCTTCTGTCTCCACCTCCAACAACTTAGGATGCAAATAGGGGCACATATCTGGCCACACACAGCTTTTTTTTTTTTTTACATGGATTCTGGGGATCCAAACTTAGCTCCAAGGCTTGCACAGCAAGTATTTTAGGGGCTGGAATCATGAATCAGCAGTTAAGAGCACTGGCTCCTCTTCCTGAGGACCCTGGTTCAACTCTCCGACACCATCATGGCAGCTCACAACCATCTGTAACTCCAATTCCAAGGATCCAACACCCTTTTCTGAACTCCTATTTATAAACCAAGCAACCAACATGCCTTAAATCTCAGCACTCAGGAGGCAGAGACCAGAGAATCTCTGAGTTCAAGGCCAACCTAGTCTACAAAGTGAGTTCCAGGACATACAGGGCTACACAGAGAAACCTTGACTGGGGGGGGGCACAAAAAAGGGGGCAGAGGTGGCACACGCCTTTAATCCCAGCACTTGGGAGGCAGAGACAGACGGATCTCTGTGAGGACGAGGTCAGCCTGGTCTTCAGAGTGATATCCAGGACAGCCAGGGCAGTTACATAGAGAAACCCCATCTCGAAAACAAAAACAAAAACATGACCCTAGGATGTAGTGACAGGAAAGAATGGCCAAGTGAGCTTCCTTCCTGACTCAGGAAGAGGAGAAAGAAGGCAAGTCAAGGGGGAGAATGTGATGAGAATCTTTTGTTTGTTTGGTTTTTTTTTTTTTGGTTTTTTTTTTTTTTTTTTTTTTGGTTTTTTGAGACAGGGTTTCTCTGTGCAGCTTTGCGCCTTTCCTGGAACTCACTTGGTAGCCCAGGCTGGCCTCGAACTCACAGAGATCCGCCTGGCTCTGCCTCCCGAGTGCTGGGATTAAAGGCGTGCGCCACCACCGCCCGGCGTTTGGTTTGTTTTTTGAGTCAAGATCTCACTCTGTAGCCCAGGCTAGTCTCAACTTTTGGGGATCCTCTAGCTTATGCTCCCCAAATGCTGGGATTACAGAAGTGTGCATCACACAAGTCTACAATCTGCTCTTTTTTAGATTTATCTAATTTATTTTATGTGTATAGTGTTTTGTCTGCATGTTTATCTGTTTACCTCATGCATGCCTGGTGCCACAGAGGTCAGAAGAAAGCATTGGATCCCCTGGAACTGGAGTTACAGACAGCTCTGAGCCACACCATATACATGCTGGGAATCAAACCCAGGTCCTCTGCGAGAGCATCAAGTGCTCTTAGCTGCTGAGCCATCTCTCCAGCTCCTAGACCAAGAGTTGAGACCCCTCAACTCTTTTGGGGGTCAAATAATCCTCTCACAGGGGTCACTGAAGACCATCAGAAAACACAGATATTTACATTACTATTCATAATAGTAACGAAATTACAATTATAAAGCAGCCATGAAATAATTTTATGGTTGGGGGTCACCACAACATGAGGAACTATATTAAAGGGTCACAGCATTAGGAAGGTTGAGAACTGCTGTTCTAGACTCTGTTCTTTTTGTTTGTTTGTTTTCGAGACAGGGTCTCTCTGAGTAGCCTTAACTGTCCTGGAACTTGCTCTGAGGACAAGGCTGAGCTTGAACTCAAAGATCTGCCTGCCTCTGTCTCCCAAGTGCTGGGATTAAAGGCATGTGCCACCACCGCCTGGCCCAGCTAGACTCTGTTCTTAAAGCAGAGAACAACAGATGTTTTTACAAACAGCCAGGACTCTACTGCATGCTGACTGTGTAACATCTAGAAAATGGACTTGTAATTTTTAAATGGCTTTTAGCCTTTCAAGGTTATGGTGAAGGCCAGCTCTTTCTCTCCTAGAAATGGCGTCCCTTACTAAAGAGAAACGTGGGCAGTTCCTACTGTGTGATGTGTTGTAGTGTTAAATATTTGTTGTATGAATGGTACAGTGAGGTGCTCAGGTCATCAGCAGAGAAACTGGCCAGGAGTGTGACACTGATAGGTAGAAGGGACTGCAGGAAGACAGCACCTCATATTGCTGTTTTTCAGGCTCTAAGAAGATGTCACCTGACCATCACGGTTTGAACACAGCGATCACAATGGAGGGATCACACTCTCCCAGGCAGAGTTACTCTTTGAACTCACAACTGGAAAACAATGAAAGGCAGGCCATGGACCCCAGAAGTCTCCTCCAGCACCACTTCACGGCCATGGTGACCGCTAGCAACATTCCAGGCAGCCCTGAAGAGGACTCTGTCCCGACCCCTGACCCATGTGGACCAGTTCCTTAAACATCCAATAAATGTCTCTACATCATCCCATCTGAAGTCTTTTTTTATGAAAAGATGGGAAATGGCTGAGAAGACATTGGAGCCTAGTGGATTAAAGCAGGACTTTTCCCAACAAAAGCACCTAGGTCTTGTAATGGACCCAGCTGTCTTGCTTGGCCTGACCAACTTAGGACCAACAGAAATTGGATGTGAGTCATCTCTTGGGAGCGGGGTAGTAGCAATACCACACAATCCAAAAACCTGAGTTTGTGGAGACTCAGAGAGCCCTTCTGAGAAGTCCTGACCTTTATGTGGTTCCTCTGCCCTAGAGTAGGTGTACGTAAAAGTCCCTGGAATGGAGATCCATGCTTAGAGGGGAAATCTACCTGTCCATCACTCCGCCTGCCCTGGAGTGAGCTACTTGATGAGGTACAGAAAGAGAGGGAGTATAGTACAGGGCTCCACCATCAGAGTTTCTCAGCTGGATAGAAGAATGAATGAGGGAGGGCTGGTGAGATGGCTCAGCAAGTCAAGGGACTTGCACTCAAGCCTGAAGACCTGAGTTCGGTCCCTGGAACCCACATGATCAAAGGAGAGGATAGACTCCTCCAAATCGTCCTCTGACCTCCACACTTGCACTGTGGCCTGTACACACACACACACACACACACACACACACACACACACACACACACTATAATATTTAAAGTAAATGAGCGAGGAAAAGAATGGTTATGACACCAAATAGAGGCCCCACAGGGTGGACTGAGCCACTCAACCCAAGTGAGCAACAGTCCTTAAATCTCCCTGTGCCTCTAGACTGTCATCCAAGCTACTTGGGATGCCCAGACAGGAGGATCACAAGTTCAAAGCCAGATGAGACCCTGTCTCAAAAGGAAAAGTGGAAAATAAAAAAAGGCTCAGTGGGGGGGGGGGGGGCGAGGGCCAGGCCGGGGGGCGGGGGGAGGGGGATCAGGGAAGATGGCTCAGTTCCTAAAGCGCTTGCTGTACAAGCACGAGGCCCTGAGTTCACACCAGAACCCACAGGAAAAGGCAGATGGTGGCTCGAACTTGTAACCCCAGTGTTGGGGAAGCAGAGACAGGTGATCCCAGGAGCTTGCTGGCCGGACAGCCTAGCCTACTGAGTTCTAGGTCCAGGCCAAGAGAGACACCTTGTCTCCAAACAAACAGACAAGGGGCTCCATGGTTAAGAGTTCTGGCTGTTCTTCCAGAGGACCCAAGTTTGATTCCTCAAGCCTACATTGAGTGGCTTTCCTGTAACTCCAGCTTCAGGGAAGTCAACACCTTCTTCTGGCTTCCATGTGCACCGCACAAACACATGGGGAAAAAAATTTTACAATTATTATTATTGTCTTAAAAAAAAAAAAAAAAAAAACCAAGACGGGGAGTGATGGCGCACGCCTTTAATCCCAGCACTTGGGAGGCAGAGGCAGGTGGATCTCTGTGAGTTTGAGGCCAGCCTGGTCTACATAGTGAGTTCCAGGACAGACAGAGCTATGTACAGACCCTGTCCAAAAAAAGAAAGAAAAAACTTTAACTACAAAATAAAACAAAACAGAACAGACTTGGAGAAATAGCTCAGCAGTTAAGAGTACTCCATGCTTTTTCCAAGGACTTGAGTTCCACTTCCAGTAGCCACATCCATAAGCAGCCTATTCCTGCAGTTCCAGAGGATCTGACACCCTCTTTTGGCCTCCTCAGGCTCCTGTACATACATACATACACATAAACACAAATAAACCTTTAAAAATATATACATATGTATAAAATGAATAAAATTCCAAATGAATATGCTTCAATGTAACATGGTCATTATAAACAGGTATGATGTGTTGGATGGTGGTGGCGCATGCCTTTAATCCCAGCACTGGGGAGGCAGAGGCAGGCGGATCTCTGTGAGTTCAAGACCAGCCTGGTCTACAGAGCGAGTTCCAGAACAGCCAGAGCTACACAAGAAACCCTGTCTTGAAAAACAAACAACAGGGCTGGAGAGATGGCTCAGAGGTTAAGAGCACCGACTGCTCTTCCAGAGGTCCTGAGTTCAATTCCCAGCACCCACATGATGGCTCACAACCATTTGTAATGAGATCTGGCACCCTCTTCTGTACACATAATAAATAAATAAATCTTTAAAAAAAAAAAAGTGGCTGGGCAGTGGTGGTGCATGCCTTTAATCCCAGCACTCGGAAGGCAGAGCCAGAAGGATCTCTGTGAGTTTGAGGCCAGCCTGGGCTACCAAGTGAGTTCCAGGAGAGGCGCAAAGCTACACAGAGAAACCCTGTCTTGAAAAAGGAGGAAAAAAAAAAAAAAAAACAGTGACAATAGAGTCAAATATCTGGTTACAATCCTGACTCTGCCACTTGCTAGGTAATCTGTGCCTCAGTTTCTCTCATTAGCAAATAGTAATAGCTAGTTCCTCATAGGGGAAGATATGTACTCCAGGAAATACTAAATGTTGGAAAAAGGGAAAGTGCCCTACATTAAGCATTATTATTGTTTATTTGCCTCTAACGTTTTGCTTTTATTACTAGCTAGACGGCAGAGGAGCGGGCAAGCCGGAAGGAAGTTCACTGCCACCCCTCTCTCCTGGGGCTTTTGCTTTGCTTGGGAGTTTGAGGCAGACCAGAGAAATCCTGTAGCCGCTGAAAGCTCCTCTTGACATTTCACCGTGGCACGACCTGGTGCTGGGATTGGCAACAGTGAGACAGCCATTCTTAGACATCTGTGCACAGGTCCCTGGCCAGCCAACAAAATGCACATGATGAAGTGGGAAGTACTCAAGACTGGGTTTGTCTGCACACCCACTGCCCCCCCTGCACACCCCTCCTCCCCTTTAGGGGGTGTGGTATTTTCAGCACAATGAATACACCTTTGTCCACTAAACATGTACACCATGATGTCTATACCAAACCAGGACCTGTGCAGTTGCTAAAAACAAAGGGCAATCCTGCTGTTTAGGGGCTCAGATGGCATCTGAGGTAGACACCAAAAAAAAAAAAGGCAATGGGCCTTCTGGAGGTCCCCATGCTGCGGGAGGGAGCAGAGATGTCAAAGCTCACTCATCTTTGATGAGTCGGCTCCAGGTCAGAGCGAATCAGAAGACAATATGGACAGAGTTCAGTCTGTTCAAAAGCAGCGAGAAAAGCCCAGTGTGGCCCAGGAATTGTAAGTTATTAAAGAGGACGCCATAGTGTGTGTGTGTGTGTGTGTGTGTGTGTGTGTGTGTGTGTGTGTGAGGGTGAGTGCCAGTTGCAGTTTAGTCACTGACTCTGGGTTAAGACATTATTTACAGGACAGATTTTCTGTCCTGATCACCCCATCAGTAAACTTTTGTGTTCTTTTGGGTTTTTGTTTTTTTTTTCCTCCCTCTCTCTGAGTATTTTCTATAGTGGAACAATCTGCTAATGCCTGTCTGGCTGTTTACGGAGAGGGAGAGACAGTTGCAAATCAGAAGAATGCAGGGGGTGGGGGTCTCCTCGCCAGTCTGAGGCAACTGGTCTCAAGTTTCTGGTTGCATCAGAGTCAGCTTTGGCTTGGGGTTTGGTTTTGGTGCTGGAGCGGGGAACACAGGGCCTCACACATGCTACGACTCCAACTGTCTTTTGTACTCCCTTCTGAGACAGGGACTCTCTCCATTTTCCAGACAAGCCTTGAATTTGTGACCCTCCTTCCACGACTTCCTGAGGAGCTAGAATTACAGGCCCGTACCCGGACCCGGTGCGAGGGCATATAAACAAAGAGCAGTTTGCTGGTCCTCACGCCTCACCCCAGCCTAAGTCTGCAGGGCTGAAGTGAGTCCCCTAGATTTGCATTTTTAACAAGTTCCAGCTGCTGCTGCTGCTGCTGCTGCTGCTGCTGCTGCTGCTGCTGCTACCCTGGGACCTCCCTCACCACACAAGTGGCCCTGAAGAACAAAGACAAGCTTTGTGGGCTCTGGTCACAGAGGTCAGGGACCCCACACAGAGCAGAGCCCAGGAAACTGGTATGATCTGCTCCCCAGGACCCCATGGGGTGGACACGGGAGGAACAGAATGAGCTGCCACCGCCTGTCTATCACAGGCGACATAAAGATCCCGCCCCCACCCGAGTTCAGCCTTTCTGGTTTGAATTTGCTCACCCTGAGCAGGTTTTCACTGGAGTTGGCTGGTCAAAGTCCAGCTTTAGAAACTAACAACCCACCGTGTGAGAGAAGATCCCCCCCACCCCCACCCCTCACCCCCACCGGCAAGGCGGAAGCCTTGTGAGCTGACGCACAAATACAAATACCCTGAGCTCACTGGGGCTGCCAGGCTCACATCGACCAGCAATTATTTCTTGTAAATTGCTTTCCGGGTTATGTTCAGAACATGTACGTGTGACTCCCTGAGAACAAACACTCAGGGGACACAGGACCGGAAGTAACTAGCTGGGAATGGGCTGTCTATGAAGGGGGCCTTAGTCTTCATCTTCAGCCACAGTGCAGAGAGTGTTGAATATTGGAACTTAGAAACACTAGAATCTTCCACTCCCCTTTCTAGGGAGGTGGTGGTCCAGCCTCTCTGTTCAAACATCCACTTCTCTCCATTCAACACTGGTCGACAATGATTCTTTGCCAGACTCGAGGAGGTCCATACACTGTCTTAAAGAAGCTGGGAGCGCCTGGCTGTGGTGGCACACGCCTTTAATCCCAGCATTCGGGAGGCAGAGGCAGGTGGATCTCTGAGTTTGAGGCCAGCCTGGTCTACAGAGCGAGTTCCAGGACAGCCAGGGCTGTTACACAGAGAAATCCACAGAGAAACCCAGTCTCGGAAAAAAACAACAACAAACAAACAAAAAACAAAAACAAACAAAAAAAAAACAAAAAGGAAAGAAGCTGGTAGCCAGGCTGGAGAGGTGGCTAAGCCATTATGAACACTGCTCTTTCAGAGGACACAGGTTCCCAGCCCCCACATGATGGCTCACAACTGTCTATAACCCCAGCCCCAGGGGATCCAATGCCCTCTTCCAGCATCTCAGACATGCATTTGGTGCACAGATACACAATCAGGAAAAACAACCACACACATAAATCTTTAAAAAAAAAAAATAGGCGGTAGCAGCTCGTGGGTATAGGCATACTATAGGTGTCTGCAGGAGGTGGCTAGCCTGACGGGGACTTCGGGAAGGAAATGGTGTCTGAATCAGGTCCCGAGGGCACTGACATGTGACAGGAGTTGCGTGGTGCGAGTTGAACAGTGTGCAAGGCAAGGGGAACGTGGCATGGGAAGACCCACAGGTGAGGAGAGGGGATGGGTGATTGCTAGTTCTGGCTGGGTAACAAGGTGAGAGATGGCAGGAGATGAAGCCGTGCTTAGAAGCAGGTCTTGAAGCCTCTGCCCTCTTAAGAGGTTGGGACTTCAACTTGACGGCAATGGGGGACATAGAACAGCTATTTATGGGAGAACGTGGTCTCCTGACTTTCGTGACACCTAAGTCTGCAAAGATCTCTACTTGGGGGAGGGGGGCACTATTGAATGCCTGCCCTGGGGGAATCGGGATAGCTCAGAAGGTCTGTAGGACAGCGGTGGCTTACCGTGCACACCAAAGTGACTCAGGCCCCAAATAGTTCCTCATCTTGGAGGAGGTCACTACGCTGTCTGCTATGTGCCCAGGGGCAACTGAAACCAAGCTGTAGGCAAGCATCCAGGAGAGCCACATACATGGACAGCTCAGGTGGAGCACCCCTAGCGATGGGCATAGCACGCCTTGCCATGCCTCACAGACCACCGCAGTGGATGGATGGTCTGCTGGGAGTGTTGGCTGAGCTCCTGCTGGGAGCCTCCTTGGAAAGGATCCTGTCCACAGGGGCTCACGAGGATGTAGACAAGTTTGCCGAGTGACACCTCTAAAAGTCAGAGTTGT